ACAGCCCTAAACCAGAGCACTATAGATTCTATTTGTCAGAAGACCCAAGAACGTAAGTCCCATTCAGAGTCTGAAAATTTTGTCTTAGTCTGCTCCAGCTGCAATGACAAAATATCACAGACTGGGTAGTTCAAACAACACACATTTATTTTCTCACAGTTCTGGAGTCTAAGATCTGGAGTACCAGATCAAGGTCCCAGCAGAATCTGTGTCTGGTCAGAGCTCTCTTCCTTGTTTGCAGAGGACTAACTTCTTGCTTGTGCTCATAAGCCTTTCCTATCAGTCACACTTGTGGACAGATCTGTCCTCTTCTTATTAGGGCACTAAACCCATCATGGGGATCCATTCTCATGACCTCTTCTAAATTTAATTACTTCCTGAGGGCCCCATCTCCAAATATCATCACACTGGGGGTTAGGGCTTTAGCAAACATTTAGGCCAGAATAGTAGCAAACTTAAGAGAGTTCATTTCTTTAATAGTTTAGATATATTCCTCTAGAATTTCAGAGTTCGAAGGCCACTTAATACAATCATGCTCATATTCTACAACAAGTGATCACCCAGCTATTTCCTGGACCTCTTTTCCCGCTCTCTATGGGTAAAATGTGCTACACTTCTAGAGGTATTTGAGGGGGCATGCCGATGGTATAACTTTGCCTCCTGCAGTCTCCACAACAATTACAGATGTGTGGCAGGTGTGTGGTGTCTGTGCCACACAGAATGACACCCTTCCTTCTTCCACAGTGCAATCCTCTAGCATTTTGCACACAGATCCCTCCCTTGTCACAAAAATAACACAAAAGGGGATGGGCCATATAATCTAAGCTTCTAGATCCAATGGTGCAACTTACCTCCCTCCCATAATGACATTCATCCTTTATGATCCTTATCAGATGCAAATGTCTATGAGGAAGCATGCCTGGCCTGACACAGGACAGAATGGTATTACCAAAGGACATGAAGTGGGAGCACTTCCAAGCAACTGAGACTTTAAGAGGATATACATCCCCTCCTTTCCCTCAGCCCAGCTGTTCTTCCAGGAAGGACCCAGGATGGATCTCTAATGTGCTCTGGTATCTCAGCACTAAGTTTCTACTGAATTCATCTTGCCGCATGCAAGATGCAATGCAGGGTGAGAGGAGAAAAAGGAGAGGGTTGGGAAATGCAAACTCTCATTTCTCCCTAGTCCAGAGTCACAACTGAATTTAAATTGTCTTCTGTGGTATGCCAGTTATGTGTGATGAGATCCCCTCCACCCTCTGCCACACACACCCCCAACTGGATCTTGCATAGAATTTTGGAAAGGCAAAGTAGAAATATCAGGCCTTGCAAAGCAAGTGCCCACTTGTGTTATTAAATGCAACTCAACAGTTAGTATTCCACTGTCCCATAGGCTTCAAAACACAAGCCACAACTCAGAAGTTAAGAGTCTCCTAGCCACTTCCTCCAGAGTGTTTCTGCTTCCAATTCTTACCATCAAAGGGCATAGCAAGACCAATGAGTGGCCATGGCCCCAGGCTGCTTCAAAAGCTACCAGAAGTTCCCTCCACCTTGACGGTGGCACCAACTCCACTCTGCCCCTCTGAACCACATCACTTCTGTGATGACCTACAACTCACAGGAGAGCAAGATTTAGTGAATGAATAAGCAAAGTCCCCTCTGCTCTCTGTCCCTGCTGTAATCCTCACCTCTCAGGCAGCCCCATGTCAGCACCTACCATGCTGGGCCCATGTGAGCTATAGAGGTAAAAGGGCCAGAGCCCTGGAGAGCAGTGCTTTTAATCACAATCAATTTACTACTATATGCAGTAGTTTATCAATACAAAAGGAAAACTGACATGAATCATTAAAGATGATCTTCTCACTTCTAATTTTGTACACACCCCAATGCAAAGAAGAAAACAAGGAACATTTCTGTACCCCCTTTCACATAGAGCCGCCATACACTAGTTTCACCTCCCACCTAAGGTGAGACTAATTCTCTCAAGCTCAAGCCACCTTACACCTCCTTGCTTTAGCTCACACTGCTCCATATATTTGGAATCCAGCCTCAGAACTCAACTCAAACTCTTCTCTGCCCTGAATACCTCACTGTTCCTGTGAGTCATCAGAAACCCCTCCTTCTGCCCTCCCACTGCATAGGCTTTAGTATACACCTGACATTTCCCACATCCCACGAATCTTGTATTAGGAGGGTTCCATGTCCAACTGCTCTGCTAGATGATGCTTCTAAGAGGCAGATTCTATATCTCATGTGTCTAACCCTGCCAATATCAAGGAACAACACCATGCACACCTGACTAAATAAACAGTTAACAATGCTAAAAGCTCTCACCTTTCACTCTCTCACCAGTGTTTGTGAAGTGACTTCCATGTGCAATGTAGGACACCAGGTTCTAAGGATCAATAGAAGATTAAGTATCTTGTAGAGGAGGCAGCCACACGGTGATATATAATGTAAAGTGTAAAGTGTATCAATGAGAGTGTCTTGGACACCCAAGAGGGAAGGAATGATTATTAGGAGCGGGAAGGCAAAGCCATGTTTGGAGTTTGCAGGGGCTATCTCATGCTTCTTCTAGGCCTGTGCTCGTGGACCAAATGTGGTGGGCAAAGTGCTTGCTCCATTTAAATTACTCCACTCTGTATTGTTGTGATTGTTCGCTTTTGTTTCTTTGTTTTGTTCTTGTCTGAATACAGCTACACTGCACAAAACTAAATATTGCATGACATGATCCCAATGTACCAATTTCACATATTAATTTATGTACCTTTTCTCTTCTCTAAAGCCCTCACCATTTTATGTACATGAACACTCAGATATATCTGATACGACTTCCCTGATCCTGTTGGCTGCATCCCACATGCCTGTCCTTCCCTTGCAATTCCTGAAGCACTTTAGAAGATATGGGAATTTGCTTGAAAGTTCTATACCAAACTACCTGCCAACCTTCACTCTTTGGGACCTGAGTTCAATACTTGTCTTGTTATTGAACCACACACTGCTGAATGATGTTACTTAATAGCAGCTTCATTCTAGTGCCCAGGGGGTTTATAAATATCCACAAAACAGGGAAAGGACCCTGTCTCAAAAATCCTTTCATATCCTCCCCAAAGCACAGCAGTGCTATGCACACAGCATGAGCTTAAACCCTTGCTGGGTAAACCCATTCCCAACCTCCTTGCAAATGCCTCTCAGACAAGCCATTTCTTTGGAATTTGGAAGTATCTAATGCACTTCTGGCACAGATGTCTTAAGAGTTCCTCTGGTAGATGGGACTAGAGCTGAAGGTAGATTTGGTCAGAGTGACCAAGATCTCCCTCCTGACTCTGCCCAGACGAGGGGCCCAAGACTTACTTCTTCAGCACTCGGACCATGCCTCATTTATTCCAGGGACCTTGGTCTCTGGCATTTGGTTCAGCACACAGCTGGCACTCAAGGAGCAGTCACTAAATGGAGAAATTATCTTCAAGACCCATGCAACTTAGTGGTTTTCCTTTAGGCTAAATTCCCTGTCATCTAGAAGGCAAAAGGAAATCCCGGAGACTAACTATGCCCAGCCCAAAGACTAGTAAAACTAAAAACTTAATTTCAACATGACATTTGGCAACTTCCTGCCAAACTAAACAACTTAGTGCTGCAGATCACAAAATTAAACTCATTACCACCTTTTCTCTAAACACCTGCTTCAACTTCACTACTTCTATGAACAACACATCCATTTATCCAGACCTACAACAAGCTGAACAAGTCTCTGCCCTTCCTGGCCTATTAAAAATCCAGGTTCCCAAGTACTTCTTACTGTCCCTTGATCTCTCAGAAGTAACACTTCCTTTCCCTTCCACTCTTCAAACATCCATGCACAAGACCTCAACTGAAGCTTCACCATAAGGCATCTGACCTTCCTAACTCCAGCCTCTCTCCTTCTTCACATCCAGATCCTGCATACCATCATCAGGCTATTGTTTATTAAGTGCTATTTTCAACCAGTCGGTCCTCTGCTCAATACTTCCCACTCCTGAGACTGTCAGTCTGTGCTCTTCTGTTACAATCTGACACAAGCCCATCCTCACTCTGAGATTCCAGGAACTCAGACTAATCCTCCTGCCTTGGCTAGGACAGTTGCTGTATCCCTTCCAGGAACATGTAACATGCTCTGCCATTTCAAAACTTTGCAACAGTCTCAACCTCTGCTTATACAAATTTCATCCATCCTCTGACATAAATTTTCCCCAAGGTCCAGCCCCACTGTCCTCCAGACCACCCCTAGAACAGTCTTTAGCCCCCCTACACTACTTCCCAGTTGATTCATTGACAATCTCTTCTGTGCTGAAAGTTAGGACAGCTGCCAAGGAAGACCAGTCACTCAGGTGACCTTGTCCAAACTTCCAGACTTTTGAATCTCATAGGACTGTTAAGACAAAATGAGAATTGACATAATGGGCATTTGTTCAACTCGCTCTCTATATATGAAGGCCCTCCAAGTGAAGGATCTAACACCTGCCTAGTGCAGTATTTTCCATCATTCACAACTCTACAGAACTAAAATAAGTATCAATTAAATGTAAAACAATAAAAAGGAGAACAGGCTTTTCATGAAACACTTGTCTTCACATCCTACTTTTGGCCACTCAGGAACCTCTCTGGCACAAAATTACAGGTGACTTAACAAATACTGAGGGGAGAGGTTTAAAAGGGGGAAACAGTTGTCCTGGGGCAAATATGGTGGCAAGGGCCTCAGTCAAAAGGATGCCACAGTCCGATCAGTGGGGATGCAAACAGGGTCAAGGCGGATAAAAATGCACGCGGGCAAAGAACGCTTCGGACCATAAAACTAGGGCCACCTTTATTCCCAACTTTCACGTCCATTGATAATAGAAGCTGTTCCAGAGGCCTGCTGAGATTCAGGCGGTTGTGAAATTAAATCACATCTCACCAGACCCGGGCAGACCTAGATAACGTCGGCCCAGCCTGGGGCCGCCTCTCCCGTCCAGGGGCCTTACCGATGGAGATCTCCTGCGCGAAGGCCAGAGAGATAAGCAGCAGCGGCAGCCCCACAGCTATGCATGTGACCATCTTGTCCACCGCCAGCTCCAGCCGTAGCCCCTTAAACTTGGGCTCGGTGGGCTCCTTCAGCAAGAAGTCTGAGAACACGTACTCCGTGGCCAGGTGGGCAATAGCCATGGCTACCGCGCGCTGGGTTTGTCCAAGCAAGCTAACTGGGGCAGGTCCGGGTACCGGCGGCGTCTGGAGGGCCGCACGACGCCTTCACCCCGTCACCGGCCTGGTGGGAGGCTTTCGCTTTCCCTTTGCTGGCTCCCGCATCCTTCCAGCCTTTGTGCCTTGGTGTGTCTAGCTCCCAGCGATCCTGCCGGAGCCACAGTTGCCTGGGATCAGCGCCTGGCCAGGCACCTCTGCGGCCAGGGGGTCTGGATCCAAAGCTCTCCCAGGTGCTGCAGTCCCGCCCCCGCGCGCTCAGCCTGCGCTTCTCCCCGGGGGCGGGCGACACCCGGGCTCCGCGCCACTCGCGCACGCCGCCCGCAGGCACTACAACCAACTCGGGAACAAAGCACTTCCCTCACTTCCCCGCCCCTCCGCGCGCCCCAGCCGCCAAAGATGCCTCCCGGAGGCCCTGCGCCCTCAGCCCGCGGCGCCGGCTCTTCCGGAACCTAGAGGGAAACCGAGTACCCAGGGGCCTGGAGTTTCCGGAAGACGCGCTGACGCGCAGCGGAGTGGGCGCGGCTGCATCCCGCCCCCTGCCAGAGTCCTGGGGAATAAGCAAAGGGTTCATCCCCTGTAGTGGCCCCTCTGGAAAAATCTCCCTCCCTTCCATCCACTTCCTGGCATTTGAGATTTTTCAAATCATTTCTGCAAGCGGCCCCTTCCTTTGAGCACAGGTAGCCCCCTTTTGTGCTCCATCCCCAACATGTCTACACGGTGAAATCAGGTTAACGGGGACTGTAACAACTTCATCATACAACGATGCCAAAATAAGGCAAATCGAACGACCCGGCGCTGGACCCTTCCAGGAGCTCTGCTTGAGAGGGAGACCTGAATTGAGAGTAAGCGCTGTGTGACTGTGTCTTAGACCAGGGTTAGCCTGTATCCTTTGCCTTCCAAGTCATAGCCGCAGTCTGGGAGCCAGCAGAGAAGTGTCTACTGGTGCGTGGGGGCTACATAAAGCTGCTTCTGAACCCCTAACAGGGAGTGGATGATGAGAAAGAAGGAAGGAAATACTCTGACCACCAACACTGGGACCAGGCAGGGCTTTTAAACCTGAGGGATCCTTGAGATGAAGCTCATCTGCCTTCTCTGTTCTTTGTGTACTCGCACATCCATGAATGTAAGCCTCAAAACTCTCACATGTTCCTCTCCACCCTGGTGTCCTCTAAACACACATGCAAGGGACTACACAATCCTTCAGCTGGGTTGCTTACAGGACTTCAATCATAATGTCTCCTTAAACCTGAACTCTTCCCCATCTTATTAAATGCACCACCATCCACTAATGTGCCCAAGCAGAAACCTGGATTGACATCTTTAACTCATCTACCTCTCCCAGCTGCCACAACTGATTTCCAAATTCTCCTGCTTCTCTAAATATAGTAAATCTGACAGCTCTCCACCTGAATGGAACACCCCAATTCAGCCCATCATCCTTTCTCCTAACTACATACAAAAATGTCTCCCCAGACCCACCAAGCCATTCTCCTCCACAGCTGCCAAACGGAGATTTTTAAAGCTCTAATCTCATCATATTACTCCTCTACTTAAAAGTACATTTTCTTTTAGGTTAAAATCCAAAATTCTGCCTGGTGTGGTGACTCATGTCTATAATTCCAGCTACTCCAGAAACTGAGACAGGAGGATCCCAAGTTCTAGGCCAGCTTGGGCAATTTAGCAAGTCCCAATCTCAAAAATAAATGAATAAAAATACAATAAAAGATTGGGGATATAGCCCAGTGGTAGACAGCTTGCCTAGCATGTGGGAGGCTCTGGGTTCAATCCTTAGTACTTTAAAATTTTTTCTTCTTTTCAAATTCCTTAGCATGACCACTCACTACCTATCCACTATTTTCACTCCTCCTCTTTCAGTTCAAGTTATTTAGTCCCCTTGCTTTGCCTTCTTCAGGCCTTCCCCAGTCCAAAACTCTACCCATAGTGGCAACTTTGCCTGTCACACTCTCACAACTCCTGTTCTCAGCTCAGTGTCACTTGCCCAGAAAAGCCTTCCTGGGTAGACTGCACTAGGTTAGGTCCCTTTGTCATACTGTCACCACAGGTTACTAACTGTGGGTCTTGGAGGAAGTTACTTGACCCTCCTGTGACTCCACTTTCTCATGTGTAACATGGTTATACGTACCTCTTGTGATTATGGCAAGGATCTAGTGAGTTAACACATGTAAAATGCCATCACCGTGCCGGGCAACTGATGAGCACTGTATAAAAGCTTTCATTGCTTTCTATTTTTTCTTCTTCAGAATAATCACAGCCTGGCCCAGTGGCACATGCCTAGAATCCCAGCAACTTGAGAGGCTGAGGCAGGAGGATCTTTTGTTCAAAGCCAACCTTAGAAACTTAGTGAGGCCCTATGCAACTTAGCAAGATGGTGTTTCTAAATAAAATATTAAAAAGGGTTGGGGATGTGACTCAGTGGTTAGGTGCCCCTGGATTAAACCCCCAGTACCAAAAATTAATTAGACAGAACTCCTTAAATATCTAAAGGATAATTTTCTTTTAACCTCTCCTCCTCCCAGTTTAACAAAAGGTAATTTTGAATGGATAAAAAAAAAAAAAAAACCATGCAACTGGCCATTTTATGATATGTGAAACTTTATTAAAAAGAGAAATAGTGCAAACTCATTTAAAAAATCAACTAAGTGAAAAGGAAAAAAACTAAATAATTTGTTGTTTTATGAAAGGTAAGCAATAAATAAGGTATTTATCATAATTATTATTATGTGATTACACAGCCTACACACATATGAAAACTGTAGTGCATATACTACAAAATCACATTGGTAGGCTGGAATTCAAAATCTTGTGGATACTGTGTTGATGTGGCATTCAAGTAAACTACAAACAGAATTTTTAGCATTTGCATCCTGTCTTATGTAAGACTATAGCTTCTATCAAATTACCCATTTCCCCTCACCAAGATGAAGTTGAGAAAGTGTGAAAGGTCCCACCACCAGAGTATTTATTAGTCCTACTCGTTCACCTGGATATTCAAGGATCCACTGCTAAGGCAGATGTTCTAGTATCACTCATTTGGCATTGGCATCCCAGGGCAGCTTGCCCTGAGCTAAGGGCAATTTCTCAGTCTAGCAATAAACAACTTGCTTTTATCAATCTTATACCTAATGTCCAGGCATGCCTTCAGAAAGGGTGGATTGCCTCATAATGGGCTGAGTTTAGTTGCTCAAAATTTTATTTTTGTATGTGAGCCTTGAAAACTGTAAAATTATCTTCAAAGCTAACTTAATGGTTTAAAAAACTGCCACTGAGACTCTTTTTCTCACCTTTCCTTTTCCTTTTTTCTCCTCCCTCCTCTCAAGGACTATATGTTGAAGAGGCAACCTGTCTAGGATTTTGAATGATCTCTTCTCCCAACCACTAAGCTGCATTGATGAATTCCTCCTGGTGCTTCTCAAATACTGAGGATGTTCTTCTTTCATAGAAGATGGAGACCTGGGAAGAGCCCCCCCTAACTGAATGAAAAGATGAGACTGAAGATTCAAGTCCAGACATGAAGTTCTCCCTGTTGCCGAGAGCTCACACTAAACTCTGACTCACAGTGAGAAAACCCAGCCTGCTCCTTCACAGATTCCAGCCTTCCTGCAGTCTGGAACAGAAATAGAAATTCTCTAGTTGATTTTTAAAAATGCAGACATTGCCAGGGAAACATATTGTAAAAACATATAAAATGAAGTGAATTGTAAACATTCAAGTATTTCTACAGGTTTGCATAAAACAGCAGCAATTAAAAAAAAAAAACCTTATCACTTTGCCTTGTCTAGCAAACAATGCACAGGTTATTTATATTAAGGGGAGAAAGGCCCGGAGAATTGATTAAAGACTCCAAAAAATTCTATCGGCAGATACTAACTTAGACACTTCCATGAACTCCTTAGAAACTTGTTTTCCCTGTGACAACTAAGGGATGCATCTTATGTAACAGTGTTGAAAAATCAGTGCTATTCCAGTTAGAAAAATGTCTAAGGCACTATAGCTTTTCTAGAAGTTATTTGTCTAGAAACTTTGGCAATTAACCAAGGAAGCACTGCTTAATCTAAAAATTATTAAAGATGGAATATGAAAATATCTTTCACAGAGTCTCCCACTTCAGCAAATTTGTTCAGAGAACAGACTAAGTGTTGGCTTTCCTTGGTCCCACATATTCTCCTTTTTTGGCAATTTTATACCTGAGGATTATTCACAGCCCATTTAGAAATAAATAAATAAAAGCAGATTGCTTTGGATAATGTTCCAGAGGATCCGAAGCCTGACACAGGACTCAGTTGTCAGCCTTCCTTGGTGAACAATGCCTTGGTCCAGTTTCCCTGTTGACCGCCATCCAGCCAGCTGTGGAACCTCATCTATTCCTGCTGAGGAAGACCAAATGATTCACAAAGCATCCGTGGGGAGCGCACAAGACTGGACTTCCTGATAAGGCCTCTGCCTCCTTGCGGAGCGCAGTCTGAGGGAGAGAATCACGGTGGTAACCAGGAGGAGGAGTCCCACGATGAAAAGGATGACCAAAGTAGCCTTGGCTCCTCTCGGACCCAGATTCTTGCCAAAGAAATACAGCTCCTCCCTACCTGTGAAAAAAGAAAAGTGAGGTGTCAGGCACCTGCCTCTCTCTGAGGAGTGAAACACTGAGGCATTCACATGTAGGATGCAGGAGAGAATATCATTACCGTTGGAGGGCACTGTGGCCGGGTGGGATGCCCCTCCAGGAGACTTGGTGGAGTAAGGAATCCTGTTGTCTGGACAGGGAAAGTAAGTTGATTGTTTTATTAGCAAGAGAAAGAGATTATTTTCGTGATATAAGTTATATCATTTTGCCAGCAAGGACTTTACCCCACCAGTATCTGCCATCTTTCTTGGATTCTCACTGGGCAGCTTCATACCAGTGCACATGTATTCTACTCCTCCCACTTCCCAGCTCCCACTCACCCACTGACATCCATCTTGATCATCCTGGTCTCAGAAACCTTGGGTCTCACCCCTAAACTGTTAGCCCTCCTATTACTGCCACTGATGCCTGTACTGTGCCCTCATTTATGACACACCGTACTCCATTATGGTTACATATTTACATATCTGTCTCTCTTACTTGACTTCAAGCTCCTTGGGGGCTTATCTGGGTTTTCTTCAGGCCTCCTATTTTCTAGGTCTACAGGAAACTTGGTGCCATCTATCTGGCATCATTGACAGGCAACACTACCTATGTTCCGGAGGACTGTGTAGGTTGTCTCCATGCCAGCATGGATGTGATCAGACACATGACAGTGTAGCAGCCATGTCCCTGGGTGATCCGCAAAGAGTTCAATGGTTTGGAATGTCCCAGGAAAGAGATCATAAACATCTTCTCGGTAAGATCTATCTATCTGCAGAAATTAAAATTAAAATTAAAAACAAAACAAAACAAAAAACAGCTTGGGGCTTTCTTTCTCAACAAGTAGGAAAAGATAGGCAAAGAAACACAGTAAGCAGAAGGAATGAAATAATAAAGAGCAGGAATCAAATAAAATCAAGAACAGAAACACAATAGAGATAAATCAAAGAAACTGAAAGCTGGTTCTTTCAACAGATGGATAAAACTGAGAAACCTTGTAGCAGCCAATTTCCATGATGGTTCCTAATGATCCCCATTTTCTAATACTCATAACCTTCATAATTCCCACCTATGTTACATGAGGGTTGTTCTGTGCAACCAATAGTATATGGCAGAAGAAATGGCATTCCACTTGTAAAAAGTAGGCTATAAAAGACTATGACATCTGCCTTAGTCCCTCTTGTACTCTCTCCTCTTGAATCAGTCATTCTGGGCGAAGCCAGCAGCTCCCATGCCATATCTGTATGATAATAATCAGATGCATTCAGTCAACAGCCACATGAGTGAGCTTGAAAGTGAATCCTCTGGTTCCAGTCAAACCTTTGATAACTGCAGCCCAGCTATCTTGATTGCAGTCTCATGAGAGATGCCAAATCTAAACTAACAAGCTACCCCCAGATTCCTGACTCAGAGAGACTATTAGATAATAAGTGTTTGTTGTGTTAGTGCATTGAGTTTTATAGTAATTTGTTAAGCAGCAATAGTTCAGTAATGCAAATCTGACCAAGAAAAAGAAAAAAAAAGGAAAAAGTCACTAACACCTTATAGACATTAAAGAGGATAGTAAAGGAATATTGTACAATAGCTCTGTCCCCATAAATTCTTCAATTTATAGGTAGGAACAAATTCTTAAAAAGACATAAACTGCCAAGAGAAAGAATATAAGAAATAGATAACCTGAATAGGACTATATCTGATAAACTAAAATTTTATTTAAACCTTCCAACAGATCCAGATGGCTTCATTAGCAAATTCTACCAAACATTTTAAAACATTTTATTAGTGTATTATAGTTGTACTTAATATTGGGGTGCATTTTTACATAATTATACAAACATGAAAAATAATTTGTTCTAATTCAGTCTCCTGTACTTCCCCTTTTCCTCCCTTCTTCTATTTGCCTGTTCCCTTTCATCTATTCTACCAGTCTTCTATTTATTTATAGTTTTTTAAATTAGTGCTTTATAGATATACATAAAGGTAAAATTTACTGGTATATTCATATAGGTAGATAGGAAAGTTTGGTCAGTCACATTCCATTGTTATTCACTTTTTCCATCCCTCCTCCCTCCCTCTCAATCTCCTTCTTCTTCTTCAACTTCACTGTTTTTTCTTCTATTTTCATGGGATCTCCCATTCCACCTTTTTAAAATATCAGAATATATAAAGAACTCAAAACACTTAACATAAAACAATCCAATTAATAAATGGACAAAAGAACTAAACAGACTCTTCTCAAAAAAAGAAATACAAATGGCCAACAAATCTATGAAAAATAATAAAAATCTTTACCAATCAGGGAAATGTAAATCAAAACAACACTAAGATTTCATCTCACTCCAGTCAGAATATCAATTATTGAGAATACAAGTAATATAAGCGAGGGCTTCTTGCTGCATGATCCTATGGCAAAAAGGTGGAAGAGCAAGAGTGCCCATGCCAGAGATCAAGAGATCAAATTTGTAGAGTGCAGCCTATTTATAATCTGCATGAATCCATTCATAAAGGAGGGGCCCTGATGACTTAAACATCCCCCACTAGGCCTCATCTCCTCACTGCTGGAAGGGGGATTAAGTCTCCAACACATCAATTTGAGGAAACACATTCAAATCATAGCAGAGACAGAAAACAGATGGGTTGCTAAGTGTTAAGCAGAGGGAAATGATTGATACCAGAGGGTGCAACTGGGAAACTTCGAGAAGTGATGGAAGTATTCTGTTTTTTTTTTTAATTCTGTATCTTGTGTTTTATTGTTTGTTGTTTACATCACTATTTGTGCTTATAAAACAAAATCGTACAATAAATAGGGTGACTTGTATGCAATGTGAATCACATTTTAATTTTTAACATTTATATATGTATGTATAACCTTTAATAATTTCATAAATTTTTAATTTAATTTTTTAAATGTCTGTTGAAAAAGTCAAAATCTGAAAAGCAGCATAGCCATTTAACACATGAAATGCTAATCACTGTAGGCTAATATTTGGTGTCCTTTGAAATACACAGAGGGGAGAAGATAGTAAACATTTTATTAAATTACTGCTTATTGCAGTTTAAGTAGAATATAATTCTAACAAACTAGAAACAATTCTAGTAGTTTATCTTACAGATTAGATATGATTATCATTCTCTACCCTGCTTCCTGGTAGATGGCACTGAGAACTTGAGATGACAGGCTATTTGGACTTTATCCCTGGAAACCTGATTCAGCAGGTCTGAGGTGGGGCAGAACAGAGGCAGTCTATTCTTTAAACAGTTCTCTAGGTGATTCTGCTGTATAGACAGCACCACCCATACGGTATAACTTGATGCCAGAGAGCAGGAGGTCACACGTGGTCCAGCCCAGCTCTTCAGGGCAAAAGTCAAGGTAAAGTTGAGGGGCCCACGCCAGAGCTCAAAATGCCTCCTTTATTGGATAGGGCTAAAATGTTAACTAATCACAAAGAAAAGAAAGGAGGGGTGGGAAGGAAAGACAAATGGGATGAAAAAGGATGGGAAAGGAAAAAAGACCAACCCTTGGATGCTTCCATATGCAATATTAACAGAATAATCCAGAGTGGTCATAACCATGGCCATATAATTGATGAGAAAATGTTCCTCTGAGACTGAAAGAGTTTTTTACAACACAGTAATATGCACATACCTGTTAGGAAATATCTTCAAGGAGAAGGTACAATCTCATTTCTTTGCTCCGCTTGTAATATGAACTACCATCACCCCTCACAAGCATCACATGCCAAGGAACTTCCTTATTTCCCAGTGGAACTGCATTGAATCCATTAGTTCAAAAAATCTTCCCCCAAACATTTTCCTTATACTTACTTTGAAAATATAGCTCTCCGCATGATAATGGATGGTATGTATGTCCACTTCACTTCCTATTCCTAACAAGTACCAATTTGTCATTGTGTCTTCATTCATTATGAGGCCATGGAGATTTCCAAAAATCTTTCCATTAATGGCTAAGAAGGCAAAAAAGAAAATAGTCTTTGGTCATTGAGAAGACACTACTTAATTTGAGTTTAGAAATGGTCCAAAATCTTTAGGTCACCCTTCTTAGCTACCTGTGAAACAGGTAAGAGTCTCACTTACACTTAAAACAACCCTGCCATTCTAGATCCAAAATTCAGATTACCAGGAATCTTTATATAAAGAGAGGCAGGAAAGAGAAATAGCTTGTTTTTCAAAGCTGCATCTTGGGTGGCACTGTTTGTTTATTCAGCATATCCTTCTTGTGAATTGGATTACAGGCTCATTGGTAAGAATCCTGATTTATACCTTTCTGCAAATGAGTGGCCTCAGTCACAGAAAAAAATCAAATTTACTTAGATAAACACTGAATTAATTAGAAGATATTTCCTTAATATTTCACTTTCTGAGAACAAGTTTAAGGCATTTATACACAATGGAGTACTACTCAGCACTAAAAAAATGACAAGATCATGGCATTTGTAGGGAAATGGATGGCACTAGAGCAGATTATGCTAAGTGAAGCTAGCCAATCCCTAAAAAACAAATGCCAAATGTCATCTTTGATATAAGGAGAGCAACTAAGAACAGAATATGGAGGAAGAGCATGAGAAGAAGATCACCATTAAACAGGGACGAGAGGTGGGGAGGGAAGAGAGAGAGAAGGGAAATTGCATGGTAAAGGAAGGAGACCCTCATTGTTATACAAAATTACATATAAGAGGAAGTGAGGGGAAAGGGGGAAAAAACAAGAGAGAGAAATGAATTACAGTAGATGGGGTAGAGAGAGAAGATAGGAGGGGAGGGGAGGGGAGGGGAGGGGGGATAGTAGAGGATGGGAAAGGCAGCAGAATACAACATACACTAGTATGGCAGTATGTAAAAAAGTGGATGTGTAACCGATGTGAATCTGTAATATGTATACGGGGTAAAAATGGGAGTTCATAATCTGCTTGAATCAAATGTATGAAATATGATATGTCAAGAGCAACTAATAATAAAAAAAATTTAAAAAAATGTTTAAGCCTGGCTGGTTCTCCAAAAGAAACAGTTTCCTAGGGCTGAACCAATAACCCAATAATGACCAAAACACACTGGGTTTATGAGAGGGTGACTCTTAGTCCTCCACTAACTTTTTATTTTATGCACCATGGTATAACCAAATAAGTGTGTGCATTAAAAAGAAAGAGCTCTCAGCTGGGCATGGTGGTGTAGGCCTTCAATCCCAGCAGCTGGGGAGGCTGAGGCAGGAGGATCAAGCCAGCCTCAGCAAAAGTGAGGTGCTAAGCAACTCAGTGAGACTGTATCTCTAAATAAAGTACAGAATAGGGCTGGGGATGTGGCTCAGTCATCGAGCACCCCTGAGTTCAATCCCTGGTACATGAAGGAAGGAAAGAAGGAAGAAGGAAGGAAGGGCGAGCTCTCAAAAAAAGAAAGAAAGAAAGAGCACTCTGAGAAGCTTTTGAAAAAAGAGAGCAAAATTAGTAAGGGAAAGAACAGCTGAACTGGGAATCAGGCCACAATATTCTAATCCATATTAATAACGAACTTTGTGGCCATCTTCAAAAGTAGATCTTAGCCAGAGTGTCTATTTCAAATATTACTCCTACAAAAAAAAAAAAAAAAAAACCTACCTGAAATTACACTGAGTTAAATAAAACATTAAAACAGAAACTCGGTGATGGTGTTTTATTCCACAGTAAATTACACAAATCCTTAAATTGATCAAATGGGACGTTATGGTGACTCATAAAAAAACATACCAATAAGTAGTGACATATTTTTAAAATTACTTCTTTATAGCTTAAAAAATCTCAGCATTCAGAGAGATGACCCTAAATAGCTGGTCCAAAGCCTCAAAGACTTTGCTACCAGTCCCCATTGGCTAGGCTGGTACTTGCTGAAAAAAGCTTTAGAGGAACTTCTTCAGTTCAGGTGCCCCTGGGAAGAGGGAAAGGCACAGAGAAAGAGGTTGGGTGATTCCTACAGTGAGGGGAATTTCTATGAGCCTATCTCAACAATGTTCTCTTTGAATTCCAATATACCATGCATTTTGTTGCTCTCTTCAAAATCAACAGTGCGCTTAACATCCCGTGGATCTTTATTGAGATACTTCTTGATATTGTCATCCAGATACCAGGATTCATTCTCATTAAATACCAAAAACAAGAGAGCAAATTCATAATCAACATCACTTCTTCTTCCCTTTTCATTCAATACTCCTTCTCGGCATGTAATCAAAGGACCCATCAGCCCACTATATGTGTCCTGAAAGAGAAAGCAAACCAAATCAGCTAAGCCATTAAATAATTTAATAACATTTCATTCCATCTGCCACCATTCTGGTGTAGGATCCTTAAACTGGTTCCTCTCTGGTCTGTCTCACCTCACCTTCAGCTCATGCTATTGACCACCATCTGATTAATTTCCTCACTTCCTTATTTATAAGTCTTCAGTGATCTTCCATGGCCTTCAGAATAAAATACAAATCCCTGATAGGTGTTTAAGCTCCTATCTGCTCCTCCAGTGAACTTTCTGGCTTAGGTTCCCTGCTGCTTTCCTTTTGGACCCTGTATGATAGATAAACGGGACTCAACACTTTTCCCATACACCTTCCACTTTCCTATGTTCAGCTTTGTTCATATTGTTCTTTCTTCCTAAACCTTCTTTCCAAGGTCTCCTCTAGTGCTTTTAATAGCTAAGGAATTTCCCAGATTCAGAGTCATGGTGTGGACATGTAATATTTTTACCACCAAGTTATGTTTCTTTAAGACAAGGATACTTGCATTGTCTTAGTTTTGAGTAGCATCATTGCATGTTACAAGTACTCAATACATGTATTTGGATGCATGAATAAACAAATATTTTTTTCCATAATTAGAATTTGTAAATGTATTTTTTCAAGTGTTTTATATGTCTATTTCCTGAATTGTTGTAATCTCCAGGACATCAATTCAAGACATCTATTCTAAAAGGAAGTTTAAGATAATTCCTCACTTTTTAAAAATAAATGATGATGCTTACATTTCATATCAGATATGATTTTAGTTTGGACTTTGGTTTATGACATATAATTAAAGACCAAAGTAATTTTACATACACCTGACTCAAATCAGTATTGAATCTTTGCTTTTTATTTCTCAGTTATCTATCATTCATAGTTTTATAGTTTCAGTTACTATGTTTGAGATGTGCTTTCTTTCCCAGAGCCCTATAAAGGCTTGTCTATAAGACAAGATAATGCCTTTAAAATTAATAGATTTTTACACAGCCAAAACCATGAATAAAGTATATTGTGATACTCTTTTGTTATCTATAGATATATTTTCTTTTGTTTCAAGTTACTATGTAAGTTCTAAATCTGGTAATTGAAATATTGGGGCTATGTTTTTACTTCTTACTTGAAATCAAGGGTTAGCAAACTTTTCTTGTGGGAAAGTATCAGATGGTAAATTTTTCTTTTAGTTTGTGGCCCATACTGTCTTTGTCATCTCCATAGGCAATGTCAATGAGTAGGGGTGGCTGGATTTAACCAGTGTGCCATACATCATTCGATTCCCCTGCTATAAATCATACCCACTCCTCAGATACCCACCAGAGTTGTGATGACTCCGAGTTTACATTGCAGCTGTGTTACATTAAGCATCTTGGTTGCTCTCTTCACCTTACCTTCACAAAGTTTGCTGTTGAATAGTAAACCCATGGAATACAATTGGGATCAGAGGGCCCTGGCCCTGATCTTTTTGGGACATTCCATCTGTAAGTTTTTACTTCTCCTGAAATGAATGAGAAGAAATTGAAAGAAATTTTTACAGCTGCTTCCGCTGAAGATGATTAACCTGCAGAAATGCGAGCGGGTCTTTATATGTTTTGGTGATGAATTTCTGGAGGTAGTGCCCATTCATTATTCAACTTACATCATGGTTTCTATGGTTTCAAAATGAAATGGCAACTGCAGACTTCCTTCCAGTGTGCCTTCTTCTATTGTCAACTACAATGTGTTCAGGAAATAATGATTTGTTTTATATTACACTGATTTTCCTCCTCAAAATTTGTGTCCTTGTCCCAAAAACTATCCTTGAGCACACCTCAGTCATCAGGGGTCTCAGTCTTCAACTCTTTTGAGAATCACCAGGTATCTTTGTAAGTTCTCTTGGCTCGGGCCTCACCTCAGACCAATAGAATCAGAAAATTTTGAGTCTAGGATTAGAGCACCAGTATGTTTTGAAAGTTTTCAGGTGGGTAGAGAGATCCCTTTAGAACCAGAGAAAATCAGAGAAACTTCTTTCCAAATCCCAACCTATGGGAATTTCTATTTAACCAACTTTTGATAAGCTACTTAACCCATTGACATTTAGTTTCCTTACCTGTGAACTGGGTTAGTCATCCATCATCATCACTTTAGTCATCCATCATCATTAGCCTGTCAGTGGTCATGACAGCTTGCCCACACCCCTACCAGAGTCTCCACCAATGCCCAATGGACACCTCTCTTCCTCCCTCTGTAGTTGCTTTTTTCTTGGGGGGTGGGTACTGGGGATTGAACTGAGGGGCATTTCACCACTGAGTCACATCCCCAGCCCTTTGTTATATTTTATTTAGAGACAGAGAGTCACGTCACTGAGTTGCTTAGGGCCTTGCTTTTGCTGAGGCTGGCTTTGAACTTGTTCGTGATCCTCCTGCCTCAGCCTCCGGAGCCTCTGGAATTACAGGCATGCACCACTGCGCCCAGCTTTGTAGTTGCCTTTTGACCATTAAAAATTAGTAACTTTACTTGATGACTTAATAATGAGAAACTTGAAGTTTTCCCACTAAGATCAAGAAAGGAACAAGGCAAGATCTCTCACCAGCACTTTAAAAATCTTGCTGAAAGTCCTATCTAATGTAATAGACAAGGAAAGGAAATAAAAGCTATACATAGTTGAGAAGGAAGAAATCAAACAGTCTTTGTTTTAATATTACATGATCATCTATGTAGAAAACCTGAAAGAATTGGCCAAAAAAATCTTCCTGAAATTAATAAGCCATCATATAAGATGGTAAAATGCAAGGTTAATATAAAAAAATCAATTACTTTGCAGCATGCTAACGATTAACAAGCAGAAATTTAAGTTAAAAACACAATGCCACTTACATTAGCACTGAAAAAATAAGTAAATTCAAATCTAAACAAAAGTATAAGATCTACAAAACTATGATGAAAGATACCAGAAAATAAGAGATGTTCTGTATTCATGGATAAGAAGGTTCAATGTTGTCAAGCTCTCTGTCCTTCTCAAATTGATCCCTAAATTAAAGTCAATCTAATAAAAATATCTGAGCAAGTTATTTTGTGAATATCTACCCACCAATTCTGAAGTCTATAGGGAGAGACAAAAAGTACCATAGTAGCCAACTCAATACCAAAGAGGAACAAAGTGGGAGGACTGGCACTTCTCAACTTTAGGGCTTACTGATGGGAGGGGGACGGGGAGAGCTGGTCAAGGTGTGCACTGTTACAGCCAGGTGGGAGAAAGAAGTTCTAGTGTTCCATTGCACAGTAGGGTGACTATAGTTAACATTAATGCATTATATATTTCAAGACAGAAGAGAGGATTTTGAATGTTCTCACCATAAAGAAATGATAAATTTTCAATGTGATAGATATAATTACCCTGGTTTGGTCATTACACTATATATACATGTACTGAAATATTGTATTGTACCCTATACGTAAGTAAAATTATTGTCAATCAAAATTAAAACAAGCTAGAAAACCACAGTAATCACGACAGTGTGGTATTGGTTAAAGAAAATGCAGACAGTGGAAAAACTAGAAAGCTCAGAATAGAACCACATAAATTCAATCAACTGATCTTTGATAAAGTAGTAAAGTCAATCAATGGCAACAATAAATGGTACTGAAACATCCTCATGCCAATAACAATAATAATATAAAAAACTTTGCACCCTTTAGAGAAATTAACTCAAAATGAGTCATAGACCTAAATGAAAATGTAAAGCCATAAAACTCCTAGAAGATAATATAAGGAAAACCCTAGACAGCCTTGGTATAATCATGATTTTTAGATACAATACCGAAGGCACAATACATGAAAAGAACAATTGATAAGCTGAACTTCATTAAAAATAAAAACCTCTGCTCTGTGAAAGACAATGTCAATAAAATTAGGAGACAAGCCACAGACAGGGAGAAAATATTTGCAAGACACATCTGATGAAGACTGTCATCCAAAACATACAAAGAACTGTCAAAATTCAACAATAAGAAAACAAACAAAGTTACTTTAAAAAACAAAAAAGCAAAGACCTAAGAGATACCTCGCCATACCTTACTTGATGGCAAGTAAATATATAAAAAGATGTTCAACATCATAGGTCATCTATAGAATTACAAATTAAAATAACTACAAATACTATGCACCTATTAGAATGGCCAAAATCTAAAACATCAGTACTGAAAAAGTGCGGAGCAATGGGAACTCTCATTCATTGTTTATGGGAATGCAAATTGTTACAGACATTTTGGAAGACAATTTGGCAATTTCTTTAAAGACTATACATACTATTACTATATGATCACAGTAAATGTGGTCCTTAGTATTCACCCAAAGGAGCTCAAAATTTGCATCCAAGCAAAAAAAGATATATATGGATATTTGTAGCAGCTCTAATCACAATTGCCAAAACATGAAAGCAACAAAGATGTTCTTTTTAAATTATACAAACCACAGAATGGAATATTATTCAATGCTAAAAGGAAGCAAGCTATTGAACCATGAAAAGAGAAAGACATGGAGGAAGTTTAAGTGCACATCACCAAGTGAAAAGATCACATACTGGATGTTCAGGCCACATATAGGACATTCATGAAAGTACAAAGCTTGGAGATGGTACAAATATCTGTAGTTTCTGGAGGTTCAGGGGCAAGGCAGGATAAACAGTCAGTACACAGAGAATTTTTAGGGCAGTAAAATTTTTCTGTGTGGTACCACAGTGGTAAATACATGCCACTGTACTTTTTAAAAAAAACAAAAACAAAAAAAAAAAAAACCCATAGAGTTCACATACCAAGCATGGACCCTAATGTAAATTACGGACTTTGTATGACAATGATGTGTCAGTACAGGCTCATCAATTGTAGCTACCCCCAGTGGTAGCACTCTGATGGGTAAATTGTTGTTAGGGAGTCTATGCATGTGTTGGGTGGGAGGTATATGGGAAATCTCTGTACCTTCTGCTCAGTTTTTCTGTGAACTTAAGACTTCCCTACAAAATAATGTTTATTAATTTCTTTTTAAAATATTTTTTTAAAAGTTTATTTTCCTCAAAGTTATAAAGTTATAAGTTTAAAAGTCATATAATTCTAATAATTAATAACTAATTCTAAAGTCATATAAAAATAACTTTTCAGCAGCAAACATTTCCAGCCCCTTTAGCTACTTTTTATGGTAGCTACCTTGATATTTCTAACTAATATGCTTAAAGTTTCTAGATGTTTCTTAGATATGAACTACTGACCTCCTTATGTAACTAGAGGATTTCACTTTTTTTTCTTTTTTTATTATTTCTTACATCCATGACAATAGTGGAGTGCATTACATTCATAATTTTTTGCATTACAATCCTTAATACACCTTTATACCACAATTTACCAAATCTCTGTTTGTATATATGGCATGTTGACACCAAATTCACATCTTCATACATGAATTTTATATAATGATGACCGAAACACCACCAACCAGAGGTCTGTGTCCTTTATAAATTTTTCTCAATTACTTCTTTCCTTAATTTCTATGAATTAATCAATTAGGCTTCATGAATTTTCCTTCTCTGAAACTTTTACAAATATTTTTAGGAATATCCCTGAAATTATTCACCACTTAGAACTTTATCATGTATAATCTGCATTACAACTGAAATGATTCATCTTATCTTTTTCCAAAAAAACCCCTCACTTTTAACACCTTGAGGGAAATGTGTGATTAATAGCTCAGGTCCTAGAGTCAAGCACACTGCGATTCTACCATTACAAAAAAGGGACCTGGCCAAGTTCTTGACCCTCCTGTGCTTTAGTTATTTTTTAAATCGACATAATAATACCATATTTCATCTGTTACAGGATGCAAATTTTTTACATTTTAACTTGTCTGAAGTCCAAAAGTGTTGTTCAATCTGAAGTTCAAATGTATTGTTCAATCTGTAGCATGTTAATGTGTAATTGGCATCGTGGTTTTCATTAACAGATAAAATAATGATGGACACTTATGGTGTCAGAATTGATTAAATGAGTTAGCACCTACCTTGCCAGGCTGTTGTAAAGATAAATGAAGGGTTTTTCGTTTGTTGCTTTTTTTGGCTTAAACATAAAGCATAGCATCTGACACAAGTTTAACACTCAGTATGTGTTAACCATTATTATTTCTTACTAGCCTACGAGCTTCTTAATGGGTCCTAGACATTTTTTAAATATTTGGTCAATGGATGAAAGAAGATTTCATACCAGGAGAGGCCAGAAGCACACTGACATTAAGATGAGCTTTTCAAGACTCTTCATAGATCACAAAAGGGTGAGGTCTTGTGGCCACATTAGGATGAAGCAGACCTCTGGCATTTCATACCTGGCTTTGTGATGGGCACATCGAGTCGCTTCCCACTGTCCATATCCTCTATACCCTGGGCTGAGATGGAGTAGGGCCGGCTGGCTTTGTTCTTAAATATGATCAGGATGGTGTCACCCACCTCAGCATGAATCATTGGACCTAAAGGCAAAACACAGGTCTGTGTGCATTATCATTGATCTTTCCAATATCAAAGTAATTTAAATGTAGGTAGTATTAGAGAATAAAACAAGGGTTAGCTTCTTCATTAGTGCACTTCCTTTAGAGGACAATATTGTATAGAATTAAATATCAAAAATAAATAAATAAATATCATGAAGTGTGTAGTAATGGGACCAACCTAGGTTCATATTCTGCCACTTACTAGACAGGCCTTAGGCAAGTCATGTAATCTGAGTTTCAAATCTTCATCAATAAAATGGGCATGGGGTTAAAGTAAGGGTGGAATAAAATAACATATGTAAAATACTTGTTTCACTGCATTGAACAGGTAAGGATCAATATGCTTAACTTTACTACTAAAAAGTAATTTCTAAGAAAAGGCATATTCATATGATATGGTGACTTTCAGTTGTCACCCTGTGTGTGACCTTTGGTGAGTCTGAAACTGCTTATTTTCTGGCTAATGAATACAATAATAATGAGGAGGATCCCATGAAATAATGTATATTAAAATATTTGGAATGAGTGGAATAAGAAATTATGCATTGATTTATGATCAACACAATCATTTCACTAATGCATGTCTAATGCATTTTTTGGATGTGTGGATACCTTGAGGAGGCCATGTACTCTTTGGACCCTCAGTTGTGCAATTTTCTGTTGGAAGCAACCAGCCTGCATGCCCAAGGAGATGAGCCCACAACCCTCTAGAGAGAGCCTGTGCTAGCCTTATGATGCAATGACCCTCACCATGCCAGATGCCTGTCACCTCAAGATGCTCAGAACATGACACCCCACATTGGCAGAGTATAGCACTCAAAAAGGTCTTCATGAGACCTTACCCAGCTTACAAGTAAGTAGACTGCCATAAGGAAGCACCTCAGATCAGATCCCTATGGTTCTCTCTTGGGCATTTTGTGCATTTTATGTGCATAGGTGGGGGCGGATATACTTGGGGTTGGTGATATTCAACCTGTTCATTCTTCACTGGTCCAAATGGGTTTGATTGCTTTTCTGATAAACACCACTAAAAGAGTAAATAAATCTAAAATTTGTTGAACTAGAAATATCTTCAGAAAATATTAAGCATGAATCCAGAAGTTTCTGAAAACCACTATTTTCTAATGAAAAAAACTAGAAAAGAAAATTTCTACTGTTTTTAAACATTCAGTGTGAGCATAGCTACAGAGATAGGTGTGCGTGTCCATTTATTAAAATCATTATTTGTATACCACTGGAAGTGTACATGACTTGCTGTACTGGTGAGTAAGAGAAGATGGCTTCTAATTTACAGTGTGATTGAACCCAGGTATGCCTTCCATGCCCTCTGAGTATTTTAGAATCCCAGGACTCTCCCTGAACTGAAGAAAATAAGTGGATGAGCCTCACCCACCCCTAGCTGAAGGCTGCTGGTATTGCCTCTGATGAAGTCACTCATTTCTTTCATTTTACTGAGTGGAATCAAACGGGGGTCTTTGCAAGCATAACCCAAATGCCTCAGGAGGACCAGCACCTCTCCTTAAGAGGTTTTTGGACACATGGGGCCCAAATGAATGATTCCACTGGGAATGACTCATTCATTTGATATGACAAACAAGCTTGCGTGCCAATGTTAATAGGTGAGGGGGAGGGTGGGTGGAGCATTTAATAATTCATCAAGCTAGGAGTCATGGTTCTGTGGAAAATCATATTGTTTATATGTTAACTTGTGTATTTTAAAGCAGCAAAGGATTTCAAGAAGTCCTCTAGATTAGCCCTCTGTTTTAAAATCCTGTCTTTAAGATGGGATCAGGTCTCCCAGGTGAGGGAATATGGGGATAGAAAGCAGGGGGAGCTTATCTGAGGGCCAGGCCAGGCAGCTGGGCATCAGGTAGTGCAGAGGCTGCAGGCAGACCCAGTATGTTCGGAGGGCATGGGTCAGGGCCTCCCGAACTGAAACTAGACCTTTCACCCTTGGCACCCATCTCCCATGGGGGTTCCTCCTTTGTCATAAATATTTTTATGGTGTGTTAGTATGGCACTGTGCATGGATAATCTAGGACCTTGGAGAACTCATACAAACACACTGCCTGGTGTTGTGAGACATCAACTTGTTTTAAATTAAAATTCCCTAGCTCAGTAAAGGAATGGGAAAGAAGCTCAGTATTATTAGACACTGAGTAGACTGCCCTGATGGAATGGGCTCCTGTTTGAGTGTTATCTGGTAGTCTTATTATGCTATTCTTTGTGTGAGCTGAGGACCCAGGACACTCCCTGATAAGGAAAATATTGCACCGAATGAATGCAGTCATGCTACTCTGTCCCTTCTCAGTCTTACAGGAAAGTATGTGTGTGTGTGTGTGTGTGTGTGTGTGTGTGTCTTCAGACATGTGCACACGCCTGGGGCTGACGGTGCATGGCTGAAATCTGTGCCATACCCAGGAGTTCTAAGTGCTCCTCTCGCGGTGGTCGAGCTTTGATCTCCACAAATTCTCCATTGGTATATTCCCTGTAAACCACTTTCTTGTACTGAGAGCCAATCCAGTTTTCAGTGTGGTTCATAAATATATCTCCATGTCTGCAAATCGGAAGCATCAAAAATTAAGTTTTTCAGAGTGATTTGGGGGTACTCTGGATCAATGCTCCCCAAACCTGGCTGTAACCAGGGTCTCTCTAGGGAAGTGGCCTCTGGGAGTGGGGCTAGGAATTGGCACTTCAAAGGTCTTCAGGTTCTGATAAGTTCAGCCCAGTATGGCCCATGGTCCACCCTTGAAAACAATTGCTATCCACTGTTTCCAGGTGTTGAGTGGGGTCAACCTCAGAGATTCTTAAGGTCCCTTTGAGATAGTCTTCTCTTTGTGGCACTACCTAACCTCACACACATATATATGAGTGTGCACACATTTTCACCATCCTGAATTCTTCCAGGTTTCATATATATCATTCCATACCTCATTCTTTTTTACTTGTAAAGATCTTTGCAGGTTATATTTTGTGTATGTACCTATTGCAAATATAGTTACAGCTGATTCTTCTTATTCATGGCTCTTATGTTCTAGATAGTCATGGTGAACACTGAATTATCTTGTTTCAAGTGTGTTCCTGTTTGAGGACACTTTATTTAATAGTTGTTGGTGATTTGTTAATATTGAGCTCATAGTTAACTGCACTATAACTCATACCCAAATGAAGCTTCGCTAATACATGTATTTTCTCCATAAGTCACATCACAATTTTCTTGATCTTAGAAATTCTGGACAGTGCTTCAGTGCTACTCTTAAGGGGACCATCTTAAACAGCTAAATAGCCAAAATAAAGAACACAAATGCAGAAGATATGGCACTAAATTAAAAGAGGAGGAAGAGGAAGGGGGAGGGGAGGGGGAAGGAAGAGGCAAGGGGGAAGGGAGGGGAGGTGAAGGGGAGAGAGAGGGGAGGGGGAAGGGGAAGGGGAGGGGAGAATAATTAGAAAAAGAAGAAGAGGAGGAGGAGGGAGAAGCAAAAGAAGGAAAGAAAGAAAGGAAGGAAGGAAAAAAAGAAAAGGCACTTCTTTACAGTAGGAGAGCTGAAACAGGAAAGCAGGAATGTTCTGGTTGATCGCCTCTGGAAATGTGTGCATCAGCATTTTTTCACCACCCTGTGAATATCTTTGAATAACCAGAACAAAAGCCAGAATTGATTGAGGTGTTAAAAATAAATTTTAGCAAATAGGCAAGTTTACAAATATGGAATCCATGATGAGGATCAAGTGTACATTTACATGTGTATTTAATCTATCACCAAGGTATACTGTCACTAATGATTGATTCAAAAAAATCTAAAAGAGCTGGGTGTGGTGGCTCACACCTGTAATTCCAATTACTCAGGTGGCTGAGGCAGGAGGGTGTCAAGTTTGAGATCAGCCTGGGCAACAGAGTGAGATCTTGTCTCAAAAAAGAAAGAGGGAAGGAAGGAAGGAAAGAAGGGAAGGAGAGAGGGAAGAAAAAGAAAAATATATCAATTTTGTTTCCAAATTTGATGAGTTTTGTCCCCACAACCTCATTACCTGGCTGTATTCTAAACAGAGCCACCTGCCCTACTTACCTGAATTAATTGGAATCATTCTTCATCACTTCCTGCCTCCCATGCAGCTCCCTTTCCTCTATGCTCTCCACTGCAGGGAGAGTAGCTCTAAGCTATGAATTTGACCAAGTCACTCCTCATGGAAAATAGTTTTATGGCTTCCCACTGCAAAACTCCTTGGTTTGGCTCTCAAGCCCTCCATTATCTGCTTTGCAGCCTCCTGATCCTAATTTCCCATCATTGCCCCCCCCCCCACTTGCTCTGCTTATTCTAAACATTCACTCTCTTGAACATGATGTGCCCTCTCTTCCATCCAGGCTTTCATACATGTTGATCGTTCATCAAGAAATGCTTCCCACCTCCTCAACATCCCAACTCCAGGACGACTTCCTCCAGAAAACTCCCTGAAGTTCTGGACAGTGCTTCAGTGCTACTGGACACCTGCCCTCTTCCCACTTTTTCCCAAACAGGCTGTGTTGTGATCCCCATTGCACCCTGCAGTTCCCTTCTCTTAAAATTGATTCACTCTAGATGTTTGTTCTGTATCTTTCTCATGGACCATGAATTTGATTTAAGAAGGGAACTTGTCTGTCCTCCACATTGTTTCACCTCCAAAAGTGAAGCACAATGCCTAGCACATAGTAGGTATTCAATAAATACATATACATCTTCTACCCTAGACTGAAGAGTTTGCAAAATGTAGAGAATTTTTCTTCTAGTTTTATTTTCCACGAGTCTAGTAATGCTTGCATGGTGACCCGAACACATCCTGGAGCCATGCTCTATGGGTTTCCAGCTTTCCTCCCCTGCAGAGTAGGGTGGTAATAGTGTACCTACCACAGGATTAATGCACAGATCATGTGAGTTAGTATCTGTAAAAACTGTGTTGGGCACAACTTAAGTGCTATATAAGCATCTCATCATCATTTCATGAGGATGTTGAATGGGATGCTGGGCAAAAGCTAATTAAATGGGTCAAATGTGTTGTAAAGATCCCAAAATATATGGTTTGTAAAAACCTTAACAAAATTCATCATATACTAATAGCTGATTATTATTGTGGTGAATCCCAGTATGGTTCAAGTAGACACATATTAGTCCACAAGTTCGGGAGCACCAGCAACTTAATTTCCATTTTCAAATTTCTTCTCACTTCACAAACTTGCCCCTTGGAATTGTGCTGATTGGCTCATTAGTCCTTTCTGGGATCCTAAAACTTTCCCAGTGTGTTTTTAGGAAATCTCAAAGAAAGATTTTCAGGTCCTAAGGTGGGGAAGAGGATCTGTACTGGTTAGGACAATAAATGTTTTAGAAATAACCTGTATCAAGAGGTGGTTCAGAAAATAAATATGATCTCACCATGGTCTTGGGGCAAAATACAGAGGCATAGAAATCGAGTACAGAGGGGCATTTGTCACTGGGATCCTACTTAAAGAGGTGCTACAAATGTGCCACTAGGAGAACTTACCATTTCAATTCTTTGCTAAGTGTTTATCCATAGAACTTGTACTTTGAATATGTGAAACATGTGCCTTATCTCACTTTGCCTTATCATCTATGAGGAATAACCAGAGTGGCAGGGAAGGGGTCCAATCATTTCTTTTCACCCCTCCTTCCCTCAGCACCCTCTATTTTTCCATGTACTAGCACCACTAGTTTCTTGGAGAATGGGTATTTGGTTTAACTAACAAGTAATCAAATAATGGAGGGTGTTTGAAATCCTTCTATCCCCCAGGCAAATCTTCAACAGTCATTTTAATTTTTTTGTTTGTTTTGTTTTCACTTATCCATAAGGTGGCACTGTTATACTCTCTTTTCCAGGAATATGAAACCTCAAAACAAAGGCTAACAAGACAGGAAACAAATTAGTTAAGATTTGGAATAGCAGTGTGTAGAGTTGTTTGGGTGCATCACAGTCAGAGAGGGATTATATGAGGTGTCCATAGGGACTACGGTGGGGAGCAGTTGGGGGTAGGTGGTAAAATGGGGCCACAAAAGAACATAGTATGTTGCAGAAAATGAATTTGCTTTTTAAAAGATCTATGTTCAATTCCAACTCTGCCAAAGACCAGCTCGACAACTTAACTCTGCACCCAAGTTTCCTCATCTGCATATGAGATTAATATCCAAGCAGCTGGTTGTTGTAAAGTGGAGGGTATTAACTTCGGGGGAGGAGATCTGCAGTCTGTGCCTGACTTCCTCCTTATTTCACTCCATCCCAGGATACCCTGGGGAGCTTGGCCACAGGACTCTAGGAGGACAATAGAAGACCAATACTCACAAGCCTGCATGTGGCTGGAGCGTTGCTGATTCTGTGTCTTGTAGCAATGGCTGACATCACTTATCAAGAAGGGTCAATCATGGAGACATTCTGGGTACAGGGCCCAGTAGAGAAATCTGTTCTTCCCATCCTGACTCAGAGACCTCTCCCAAGACAGGCCTCCCACCCCTCCTTGGCTTCTCCCACCTGGATAGGCTCAGACCATGGCTTATCCTTTCTTACCCTTCCCTGAGCTTCTCAATCTTCAGCAGCCGGGCCCCTCACATGGAATCTATACACTTTCTCTGCCTCCTCCGGCCCCTTCTGTCTTCCCAGTCACATTATCGCTGTGGGATCCACCTCTTCCCCCAGCCTTTCCCCTCTGCTTGCGCATCTACTCATGGGTCATAGCAGACCGGTCACCACTTGGGAAGGTGTACGAGCCTGTTGCGGATTGCCCTCAGGACGACCTCGGGTTCCCTTCCAAGGGTGGAGGCTGGCAGCTTCCCTAATCTGTGCTCCTAAGTAAAAGCTTCTGTCTGACGGAAAAAAAACCGGGCCTTTTCAGGGTTCCACCAGTGATAAACGCCTACAGAGCATGCGCATTCCCACGAAGAGACTTGGCGGTTTCGCCAGCGGTACCTTTCCCCTCCTGCGTCCAAGTGCTGCTTTTCGAACTCCCAGTTTTTGTTAGGGGCATAATCCCATTCTACCTCTTCAGCAGCGATGTAAAAGGTTCTTATCATCCCGTACGGCTGCTCAGAAGGGTCCCTGTTGCCACAGCTGTTGACCTCATATATCTGACCCATGCCTCTGTTGAAGTGATGCAAGGTGGAGCAAAACACCTTGAAAATACCTGAAAGAGAAAGGGATTGGCACTGTGCGCAGCGCTCGGTTTTGTTATTGTTGGTCTGCTCTCAACAAACCTACATATCTTATTCCAAAATCAGTCATAAGTAAGGTAGAACCCAGGGGCGCTTAATCACTGAGCCACAACCCTAGCCCTTTTTAAAATTTCATATATATATATATATATATATATAT